TGTTGTCAGCCACAATCGTGTACACAAAATAGAATGTTTAAGGCCATACAAATAGAATCTGGCTTTTAAAAATGCCTTAATAAAGTAGCATCAACTTCAGTTTCATTTCTTGTTACTTTCCATTCTGGCCTCAGTCTCTGCATTTGTCAAATGGGGGGAAGTGGGGTGAGCCTCTGCGGTTGTTCTGAGGACAGCAGCAGTGACCACAGCTGCAGGTTGCAGAACAGCATCCGGCACACAGTGTGCACGTTTGCAGAACAGACCATAGGAGAGTCTGTGCTCACCAGTTTATAGGACAGGCCTCACTGTCCTGGTGGATGCTGCAGAATCAGCATCCACCAGGTGTCTTGGTTCCTGCTCATTCCATGTGTCCCTTAGGGGCCACCTGTGAGTCCTCTGGGGCTGCACTGTCCTCATCTGGGACCAGGCCTGGCAAAGCCAGTGTTTGAGTCCATCCTCACACTGCTAATAAAGACATCCCCGAGACTGGGTAATTTATAAGGAAAGAGGTTTCATTGACTCACAGTTATGCATGGCTGGGGAGGCTTCAGGAAATTTACAATCATGGTGGAAGGATAAGCAAACATGTCCTTTTTCACATGGCAGCAGCAAAGAGAAATGTAGAGTGAAGGGGGGGAAGCCCCTTATAGAACCATCAGATCTCATGAAAACTCACTCGTTATCATGAGAAGAGCCTGGAGGTGACTGCCCCATGATTCAATTACCTCCCACCAGGTCCCTCCCACGACACCTGGGGATTATGGGAACTGCAATTCAAGATGAGATTTGGGTGGGGACACAGCCAAACCATATCAGCCAACGACCAGAGGAGAGGGAAGGAGAAGGCTGTGGAGGCTCATCTTAGCAGGTCCCATGCTCTGTGCAGATGTCGCACACACACCCACTGTCCAGGCCACACCACGAGGCCATGCCCACTGCGGGGCTACAGGAAGGCCAATCCTCCAGGCGCTGGAGAGAAGAGATTGGATATTGGTGAGCAGCACTGCTTACTAATGCAGCACTTAATAACTATTAGCCTGGAGAAACCCCATCTCTACTAAAAATACAAAATTAGCTGGGCGTGGTGGCACATGCCTGTAATTCCAGCTACTCGGGAGGCTGAGGCAGGAGAATCACTTGAACCCAGGAGGTGGAGGTTGCAGTGAGCCAAGATGGCGCCATTGTTGCCATTGCAACAAGAGCAAAACTCCGTCTCAAAAAAAAAAAAAAAAAAAAAAAGAAAAAGAAAAAGACTATTAGCCGTGACTAAACATTTACTCAGAAGGGGACAGAGGATCATTGGGTGTGTCATATAACACGGATGCTACACACAGGGTCTTTGTTTTAAAATCTGAAGGAAAGTCGAGATTAATTTTGATTTATTTCACTCTATTTTTTTGGCCTTCAACTATGTTCTTGTGGGTAGCCACTTTACAGAAGCTCTAGGTAGATCAAGTCCAATAAAAAGAAATGAAGGATGAATGTAGCATTATATAACTCAATTTTAAGATTGTGCTTATTGGCTGTACTGAGAAACCCCAACAGCCATGCGTGTTATTTATTGACCAAAGCTGTTTTCCTTTCTTTCGCACCAGATGGAAACACAAAGAATCCATTGTGTGTTGGTGCTCACACTGTCTCCTGGCAGTGGCTGTGTGCTGACACCAGATTCTGTGCCACTGATAACATGATTGAGAAATAGCTCATAGTTTTTCATGCCATTTGCAATGGAGCCTGTCCCAGGATTGTGAGTTTCACCTGTCATAGAGTCTGTTGCCGGGCTTATGGAAAACTGGATCTATCTGGTGATAATTTCACTAATCAATACAACCAACCCCTTATGCCACTCTGGTCCGGGTAATTTATCATGGACATTCCAATTACTTTCCTTCTATGAGTGAAGTTTATGCTTCAGTATTGTAAAATGCAGCATTGTTCAGAACTAAGGTGACATTTAGGAAGGACAAACAATGGGAAGGAAAACTTCCCTGGGGGGTGAGGGGTAGAGATGAAAGGTAGAAGGAGTACAAGAATGGGGCCCAGAAGTGGGGGTGAACAGCGAGGCACCTAGGGATGTTTTCTCTTGGTCAGCAGAAAGATGCCCATCTGGCATCGGCCTTCTGTGCCAGCCCTCTCTGTGTACACAGCGTAATGCATGTGGTAGCAGGTGCACGGTGCGTGTCCACATCTCTTCTCCTCTTTGCTACCACCTAGCTCGGTCTGCTGCCAAACCAGGACCCCAGTGGGCTTGTTAGTAATAGATAGATGAGTGGATGGGGGGATGGAGAGAGGGAAAAAGGGAGGGAGGCATGGATGGGTGTAGAGTGGAGAGCCGTAACCCAGTGTTTTGGGTTGAGAGAGGCTGGATGGCATGGTGACTAAGAGCCAGCCCTGCGGGGCTGCACACAGCCTGGGTTTAAATCCCCGTGCCCAGCATCCTCCCCATATGGCCCCCCGCCTCAGTCTTTCCAACTGTAAAATGTCAATAATAACGGGCCATGGTGGGGATTGAGTGAGTTAATCCAGGAGCAGAGCCTGGCTCAGCGTCTGCGGTGCAACCATGACTATCTCCCCAATCACTCCTCACTCAGTGGCTGGCCTCCTGGCTGCTTGAGCTGCAGCAGAGCTGGGCTGGAGAACGATCGTGCAGACTCCCATTCAGAGCACACATCACATGGGCACTGGACAGAGCACTGGGAACCAGAGAGTCAGCTCAAAGTTTTCACAGTTTCAAAACACTTCCTCACCTCTGACCTCGGCACTCCAAGGAAGCCCTGTGGACGGGGCTCTTGGCAGGGAGTGAATGGAGTCTTCAAGGAGCACTCCAGCTGCCTTGCCCTAGGGCGACCGTGGCTCAGCACACATCCTAAGGTTCAAGGCCTTCAGTGCCAGGGTCTTCTCATGAGTCCCCCTCTGTGCATCCATCTGTTCCGCAAGTATTTGTTAAGCACCTACTGTATGCATGTGTGTGGTTCGGAGTCTGCCACCTCTACCTTCATTCTGAGTCAGGTCTTTTCCTATGAAATGTTTATCTTTCTGTTCTACACTGTGTGGTCTTGACGCTTGCCAGGGAATCAGGGTTGGATTTGGCAGGCATGATCCTGGAACCTTCCAGAACCGTGTGGGAGGTAACAACGAGTGATTACAACATGGCTCTTGATTCTCTCCCCTCCTCACACCTAACCTCATTTTCTCACCCTTAACCTAGGGTTCCTTAACTCCAGATCTGGGTGAATTTTCCTGAGGAGTGTATAAGGAGTGATATGGGACAATAGAAGGTTCTGGAAGGAAAACTCGAACATCCCACTGAGTCCTCAACTGAGCAGAATGGCTATCATGAGGGTGTGCAGTTGTTCTACAACTTTATCTGTATGTGGGTGGGGTGGGTGGGTGCCAGGAATTGAGTGGGACCATCTGGGTCGTTCCGTGTCCCTTAGTACCAGAATGACCCTGTCTGGACCTGGGGCAAGCTGATCTGAAGCAGAGAGACAGGCAGTCTCTGCAGGCAAGGCTTTCCTGACTTCAGGGTCTTTGTTGGGCTGGGCCTTTACGTGATTTCTGTTCCCAAAGCGGATGAGGAGTGTGGAGGATGGGGAGGAGCCCACTCTCATGTGTCTGTGGGGTCTGCAGGGAAATAGTTCTGCAGATTTGGAAATAATGAAAGTGAAACTGCACATTGAAATAGAAAACGGACTATAATATCACAATCAGTGAAGCAGAGCAGAGCTAGGTCAAGAAATCCTTCCTGGAGTGAACGGTGGCAACCGTCTTCGCCGCCGGCTCCATGCCAAGCACTGTTCATCACCTTTGCCCCCGACGCCTGAAACAGCACCCGAGCCCCAGGTCACTGCCGTCCCCCACACCGAACAGGCCCCTCTGTCAGAAGCCCAGCTCTATCTGCGTCTTGGCATCCCTAAAACCCGAGGCAAGGCAGGGCTGGGAGATGGGATGGCCTTGAAACATCTCTTGGGCAGCTTTTTAAAATGCACGTGTCTGCCTGCAGGTTTTGAACATGTCATCCAGCCCACCCCAGCCGACCCTGCCAGAGTGCTGACTCCTTCTGCATTTGGGAATTGCCACCAATCACTTTCAAGAGGGGACGAGTCAGCCTCACTCCTGTCAAAGGCCAGACCCCTCCCCATGCACCCACCTGGGACGCCCTGTGGCGCCTCCTTCTCCTGCCCACATCTTCGTATTCACTTTCTATCCTGGATCTTTCTCACCAGTGCCCAGACGTGCTACTGTTTCTCCTATCTTGGGAAAAGGAAACCCAAACATTCCTTTTGGCTCATTTTTTCTCTTCCAGCTCCATTCCATTTTTCCACACCCTCTTGCAGCAGACTTCTTGACAGGTCGCCTAAATCTGATGACCAGGAATCTTCCTGTGCTATACCTTCCCTTGAGACTGGTCTCCTCCTCCACAGCTGCTCGGAATTCTCCATCCTCTCCCTGAACTCTCAGTCATCCGGCCCAGCCTTCATGGCCTCCCCAGAGCCTCCCTTCCACCAGCATCAGGGACACCCCTCCGTTGGCCATCTCCCACCTCGTCAGGCTACAGCTTCTCAGCCCCCTTTCCTGGGTCCTTCCCTGACCTCCTGAGACCTGAGCACCCAGAGGTCCATCCAGGATCTTGTTCTCTCCACTCAACCTCCAGACTCTGGGCCTCAAGCCTCATCTCTGAGCTGATGGGTCTCCATCTGGACTCCAGCTCCATCCCTTCTCCTGAACTTCAGACTCACAAGGGGCTCCTGGGAGCCTCCACTTAGCTCCCCAATGGACATTTCAGCAATGGCATGTCCCATGTTGAAATCCCTTCCCACAGAACCTGCTCCTGGCTTTCCACTCCCTTCCTGGTAAACTCCATGTTCCAGGTGTGCTGGCCTCCCCTAGGTGCCACCCTGGGGAACTCCCTCTCTTAACCACCACATCCACCCCAGCAGTGAATGAGGTTGACTCTAACTTCCAAATATATCCAGGACAGAATCTCTTGCAGACCTGCAGACCTTTTGTGCCAAATCCTAACAAAGTTGTTAAGACATTTTCCTGTCACGGGTGAGGGTTCTGGTGACCTCCAGTGCCCCGGGGCTGTCAGGGCAGCGGGCCCTGGAAGGGGGCAGAATTGTGCCCTTCCGGCTCCCACCTGCTTTCCTCATCCAGCTCAGATAGGGGTGGAGGGAGGAGGGCAAGGTCAAGATGGAGTGCTCCAAGCTGGGGCCACAGAAGCAGGCTCTGTGCAAGTGGGGTGGGGGCACCCAGAGGACTTGAGGCAGAACCCCTCTATCCTCTGCCTGCACGCCTGGCTCTCCCCTCCTAGGACTGCATGGTTGAGAGAGGAGTGGGCAGCTGTTTGGACACCAGTCCCCCAGTTTATCCTTGTTCTCCTGGAGAGATTCTGAGCAGGTGTCCCAGGCTAGGAGAGGCCATCCCAGTGAAGCCTTGAGAAGAGGTGCCAGGCTTCTGGGGCCCTCTCCTGGCTCGGATAATGGGCTGGGTGGGTGACAAAGGGATTTCGTAGGCCTTAGTGGGCCCCGCTGTGGGCTCTGCCATCTTGAGGTGTTCCCGGTGGTCAACAATCCAGGCCTGCACTCGGAGGGCTCCGTCTGCAGCGACAGGCTCTGGACATGGAGCCCAGTGGAGCCTGCGGCTGCCCGAGACGGAGCCCACAACGTCAGTTATGCCCTCCTCTCTGCCAGGTTGCCTCAGACCATGGTAAATGGTGACAGGCTGACCCGGGGGTCTGAAGGAGCTGCTGGCTGGTGTGGCATAGAGGGCATCCTCTGGGCCTGCTGTGCTACAGCCAAATCTTCACTGCTGAGCCCATTTGCACTATTTCAAGCGCACTAAGCACGTGTATTTACTTCCTACTCTCTGCCACTGTCACGGTTAGTTGCAGCCTCAGTTCCCCTTCCCAGCCCCTGCAGGATGACAGGGGATCAGTGAGCAGGAGATCCACAGCCCAGCTGAAACCATGGCAAAACCAGTTTTAGGCTCCACAGATGCTGAGGAAAGGAACCTGCTGGAGCCTCTTCCTCAGGGCACTGGGACTGCCTGGGGGCTTCGACGTCCACAGGAGCCCCGTCTGCAGAGGGGACAGGTACCGTCCAGGCCCTGTAGGGAGGAGCTGGGGCCACCTGCGCACACGTCACTGCTGCCTCTGGGTGCTTGACTTGTGTCTCCCAAAAGATGCTCTTTTCCAGACAGCCTGACTGTAGGACCAGCACCAGCAAAGCCTTCCCTCCTCCACCGTGCTAAACATCACTATGTGACGGGCAAAGCCCTGCACACTCACAGTGGGTCTTCCCATACTTACAGGTTTAATTTTATCAGAAGGAGAATGACCTGAAGTCAGATAATGAGCCATATTCCGCCTGGTGTCTGGCTTCCCTACTGGCTCTCTAAAATCGATGTGGAAAGTTTAGATGGGTGTTGGATGCAATACCTGATGATCCTTCTCTTAAGAATACACATTTCAGGGGCTCTTTGTCATTCCCAGTAAGAGAAACGCTACTGAAACTAAATTGGGATTCTATTTCTCAGGGATGAGATAAGCGAACAACTGAAAGGGGTGAGAATGCATTCTATTGGAGGTGCTGTGGAAAGCAGGCACTCGTGTGTTGTCGGGAGATATGCAAAATGGCATTCCAGCTAGGGAAGGGAATCTGGTATTGTCCATATCAGCCCACGTGCAAAATGACATCCGTGCACCACTCATGGTGCTGTGTATGTAACAGCACAAGGCTGGGAGAGGAGCAGACGTCAATCCACCCAGGGCTGCTTAAATTATATGCAGCTCTAGGAAAAGAATGAGAAAGAGCTCTGGGTATGGATAAGGAACGATCATCAGAATATGACGTTCAGCAAAAAAAGCCATATGCTGCGCTGTGCACATGGAGGGGAATAAGAATACAAATTAGCACTGCTTGCATCTTCGTAGACATAGACAGGTACGCCAGACCCATTGCACGTGGCACAGCAGAAGTTGTGACGAGGGACCTGCATGGATGGGGGTGGAGTGGGAGTGAGACCTGCTGAACACATCTTTAAATATCATTTAAATATTTGAGCCATGGAAAGTATGATTGGGCTAAACCGAAAGTTAGAGATTAAGTAACAACAGTTCATGACTCAGGTTCTACCTCTCTCTGCTCTGCCTGCCGCATCTTTTGAAGCCCAGCTCATCCTGAAGCTTCCCATCAGATTGAATCCCTGCCCCAGCGTCCCCACCACACAGTTTGTACACTTATTATAGCATCCATGGCATTCAGCTTGGCGTGATAGTCAGTAATTAACCTGCCTGTCTCCCCTAAATTATGCCTTTCGTGGAGGGAAGGTTCTCATAATGCTCATTACAGCACTTTGCACAGGGTGAGTGACTCCACAGGTATTTGTTGAATGAATGAGTAGTTTAGAGACTCCTAAGAAGGTTCCATCTTCATTAGGTGGTTCTGGAACTTTGTTAGGGACTGGGACTCTCTCTAGGATGAACTGGAGTGCCCGAGGATCTCTGGGAGCAAATCACAGTCTCTGGACTGGCCATGGACATCCTCAGGCCTCCTCCAGACCCACATTCTGCTGGTCCTGGGGGAACTGTGGATGGAGGGGAGAGGGGGACTCACTTTACTAGTTAAGTCCCATCCCGGGGATCGAAAATTCTGCTGTCCAATACAAAATCAATGACGTTTACTGCATTGCACGTTTCTAATTGACACAACGTGTTACACAATGCTAAATAGATGAAGAATTTCATCAATTAAAAAAAGTTCAGCTAATGAAAATTAACAAGAATAATTAATGAGACATTTGACTTGATCCATGTTCAATCAACTTGACGGATCTCTTTTGCACTCTGGGGGAACTTACTATGTGCAGGCTGAGCCAGGGTATGTGGGTGTTATCACCCCAGGCTGACACAGCCCTTGTCTGCTGGGCAGTGGGGGACCTTGAGGGCTCATCTGAAGGTGGCCGGTGCTAAGACTGATGACCGTCTAATGATACCCCTTAGCATCCCAACAGGGCTCAAAGCAGGAAGAGTGGACAGGCACTGGGGTCCTCATTTTTTTTTTTTTAAACATTTTCAAAGAGAAAAATACTTCTGAGCTTATACTTGAGTTTTGCTTTAAAGTTGTAGAAAAAGTTAAAAATAAATAAAAAGCCCTAAAGTCATTTTTAAAATTTCAACATTTGGAGCTATGAACACATAAGTTTGAGGAGTTCACGCCTGGCGTTGTGATGGTTTAAAGGTGTAAACACATTAGAACCTCTCCGTGACAAGCTACGCTAAATGCAGCAGGGCTGGACCCTCCCCAAGGGTCTCTATATCTGAAAATACAGAAAAATGAGTTCTAACATGTTTCCTCTTACTCTGCAGTGTGAAGCTGAGTCTACACTGGAAGCCCTGGGTCCGCTGAGGCCTCGCCATCCCAGTGTGGCCCCGCAGCGGCCTCCCCAGGAGCTGGTTAGAGATGCTGATCCCTGCCCTGCCCCTGTCCCCCAGCTCAGAACCCTCCCTAAAGAGATGCCCAGGAGATCGTGTGCATGATGACATTTGAGAAACTCCACTCTAAGATACAGGTCTTAATTTCTGAGATCTTTTCTAAGCCTTAAAGTTTTATGATTCATTCTCTCTTTGAAACTCTGGTTATGATGAAACTGAGGCTGGCATGGTTAATTGGCCACCATAATTCGTGACAGGGAGGCTTCCTTGGGACTACTGTTGATGCCCAGCCCAAAGCACCAGCCACAGCCACTCAGGATTCTCCTTTGGTTGATTAATTCTTTTTTTAAGAGACAGGGGACACTACTGATATGGCTTGGCGGTGTCTCCATTCAAATCTCAACTTCAGTTGTATCTCCCAGAATTCCCATGTGTTGTGGGAGGGACCCAGGGGGATGTCACTGAATCATGGGGCTGGTCTTTTCCATGCTATTCTCATGATAGTGAATAAGTCTCACGAGATCTGATAGTTTTATCTGCTTTTGCTTCTTCCTCATTCTCTTTTGCTGCCGCCATGTAAGAAGTGCCTTTTGCCTCCCCCCATGATTCAGAGGCCTCCCCAGCCATGTGGAACTGTAAGTCCCGTTAAACCTCTTTTTCTTCCCAGTCTCAGGTATGTCTTTATCAGCAGTGTGAATACAGACTAATGCAGTAAATTGGTACTGGTAGAGTGGGGTGCTGCTGAAAAGATACACCAAAATGTGGAAGTAATTTTGGAACTGGGTAACAGGCAGATGTTGGAACAGTTTGGAGCGCTCCGAGGAAGAAAGGAAAGTGTGGGAAAGTTTGGAACTTCCTAGAGACTTGTTGAATGGCTTTGACCAAAAGCCTGATAGCAATACGGACAAGGTCCAGGCTGAGGTGGTCTCAGATGGAGATGAGGAACTTGTTGGGGACTGGAGTCAAGGTGACTCTTGTTATGTTTTAGCAAAGAGACTGGCAGCATTTTGCCTCTGCCCTAGAGATTTATGGAACTTTGAACTTGAGAGAGATGATTTAGGGTATCAGGTGGAAGAAATTTCTAAGCAGCAAAGCATTCAAACTGTGACTTGGGCACTGTTAAAAGTATTCCATTTTAAAAGGGAAACAGAGCATAAAAGTTCAGAAAATTTGTAGCCTGATGATGCAGTAGAAAGTAAAAACCCATTTTCTGGGGAGAAATTCAAGCCAGCTGCAGAAATTTCATGAGTAGCAAGGCGCCTAACGTTAATCCCCAAGACCATGGGGAAAATGTCTCTAGGCCATGCCAGAGACCTTCACAGCAGCCCTTCCCATCACAGGCCTGGAGGCCCAGGAGGCAAAAGTGGTTTCATGGGCCAGGCCCAGGGTCCCTGTGCTGTGTGCAGCCTAGGGACTTGGTGCCCTGTGTCCCAGATGCTCCAGCCGTGAACGAAAGGGGCCAACGTACAGCTCAGGCTGTGGCTTCAGAGGGTGGAAGCCCCAAGCCTTGGCAGCTTCCACATGGTGTTGAGCCTGTGGGTGCACAGAAGTCAAGAACTGAGGTTTGGGAACCTCCACCTAGATTACAGAAGATGTATGGAAATGCCTGGATGCCCAGGCAAAAGTTTGCTGCAGGGGTCGGGCCCTTATGGAGAACCTCTGCCAGGGCAATGCAGAAGGGAAACGTGGGGTTGAAGCCCTCACACAGAGTCCTTACTGGGGTACTGGCTAGTAGAGCTGTGAGAAGAGGGCCATTGTCCACCAGATCCCAGAATGGTAGATCCACCAACAGCTTGCACTGTGTGCCTGGAAAAGTCACAGACACTCAACGCCAACCCATGAAAGCAGCTGGGAGGGAGGCTGTACCCTGCAAAGCCACAGGGGCAGAGCTGCCAAAGACCATGGGAACCTACCTCTTGCATCAGCATGACCTGGATGTGAGACATGGAGTCAAAGGAGATAATTTTGGAGCTTTAAAATTTGACAACTCCACTGGGTTTCAGACCTGTATGGGCCCTGTAGCCCCTTTGTTTTGGCCAATTTCTCTCATTTGGAACAGCTGTATTTACGTAATACCTGTACCCCTATTGTATCTAGGAAGGAACTAGCTTGCTTTTGATTTTACAGGCTCATAGGTGGAAGGAACTTGCCTTGTCTTAGATGAGACTCTGGACTCTGGACTTTTGGGTTAATGCTAAAGTTAAGACTTTGGGGGACAGTTGGGAAGGCATGATTGGTTTTGAAATGTGAGGACATGAGATTTGGAGGGACCAGGGAAAGAATGATATGGTTTGGCTGTGTCCCCATTCAAATCTCAACTTCAATTATATCTCCTAGAATTCTTACATGTTGTGGGAGGGACCCAGGGGGAGGTAACTGAATCACGGGGGTCGATCTTTTCCATGCTATTCTTGTGATGGTGAATAAGTCTCACGAGATCTGATGGGTTTATCAGGGGCTTCTGCTTTGATTTCTTCCCATTCTTTCTTGCTGCCGCCATGTATGAAGTGCCTTTTGCCCTCTGCCATGATTATGAGGGCTCCACAGCCATGTGGAACTGTGAATCCAATTAAGTCTCTTTTTCTTCCCAGTCTCGAGTATGTCTTTATCAGCAGCATAAAAATGGACTAATACAACTATGTTGCCCAGGCTGGATTCCAACCTGGGCGTAACTGATCCTTCAGCCTCAGCCTCCTGAATAGCTGGGACTACACTACAGGTGCATGCCACTGTGCCTGACCTGGTTTATAAACTCTTGTGATGGGTTTAGATCTTGTCTGTATTCTTTCTTTCTTTCTTTCTTTTTTTTTTTTTTTTTTTTACTATTTAATGGGGTAGCTTCATTGTTTATTTAGCAATAAAATTTGTTGGGGAGGAGAACTAAAACTAGGTGCTTGCTTTACAGTGGCTGAGATGGAGCCAGCAGGAAGGCTGGGGCAGGCAGAGATGGACAAGCAGCTGCCTTTGAGTTGCTGTGGCAGCAACATAGCGGCCAGTGGTTTGGCAAAGAAGGTAACATCAAGGCTTGGTCAATGCAGCAGGGGCAAGAGTCCAAGCAGTGCTACCCCAACTTGACAAGAGAGGCAGAGAAACCCAAGAATTCCAGCTCATCTGTCTGGACACTCCACAGCCACCAAAGAGCCAGCACTATCTCCCTGGATCTGGGCACCTTCCAACCTTGAGAAGACTCAGGACGGCAGAATGGTGTGCTGTGAGGAAGTCTGGAGGCAGCTAGCCTTGGAGTCTGCTCTGTGGCAGCTGCCCACTTCCTGGACCCAGGCTGGCCACAGGCTCTCCCAGGCATCCTGCAGTCAGAAGGAGGAAGAGGAGAGAAAAGGGATAAAGGAGAGAACAAAGCTGTCAACACTCTTGTTGGAGGGACTTGAATTAACCACTCAGAATTCTGGCATGAATGGAGAGGGCTGCTCCCACAGTATAACTGCGCCATGCCTTGCACCAACTCTCTGCATCCTGATTTTAGACAGGAGGACACACCAATTTGAAGAAATGATGCTATTTCCAGGGCTGAGAGCCCTGGAAGAATCCAGACGGGTCTGTCTGCTGCATTGTAGAGCTGTAATGTAATGTAATGTAATGTAATGTAATGTAATGTAATGTAATGTAATGTAATGCAATGCAATGTAATGTAGAGTCTCTTATGTAACTTACTCCTGACGCAACAATCCAGCCTCACTGCTTGCACAGCCTAACGAGCAACAAGCGGACAAACAGGTTAAGCTGCCCTCCCAGCAGGACCGAGAGTCGGGATGACCTAAAAGGTGTGAGGTTGTTCCCAAAGCACTTCCTGAAAGGCCAGCAGTAAACAACCTGAGCCGGCTTCCCAGGCTTGGCAGGCAGGGCAGCTCCGTCCCTTCTGTGGCCTTGCTGAGCAGCACAGCCCTGGCCAGCACCAGACTGGCTGCCCGCCCTGGGGAGTGTCTCCCGCCAGCAAGAACCTGAGCGCAGAACCTGCAGGGAACTCGCTCTCAACAAGGGGCTACTCATGCAAGCACAACACATTTGCCATTTGCTGGTGAAAAGAGTCAAACTCTGTAAAATATTTGAAGAGATTTATTCTGAGCCAAATAGGAGTGACCATGGCCTGTGACATGTTGCCCAAGGTGGTGGGAGCACAGCTTGGTTATACACGTTGTAGGGAGATGTGAGACTTCAATCACATACATTTAAGAAATACCTTGGTTCATCCAGAAAGCTCGGGCAACTTAAGATTTTATCATGCAGATGAAAGCTCCCTGCCAGTAGCAGGTAGCAGGCTTCAGAGAGAAGAGATGGTAAACATTTCTTACCAAACTTCAGGCCTGTACTGATGTTCATGCTGGTCAGCTTTTCTTGAATTCTGAAAGGGAGGTGGGCATGATGAAGACTGTCCCACCCCCCTTCCCATCACAACCGGAACCAGCTTTTCAGATTAACTCTGGAGTGCCCTTGGCTGGGTTCATTCAGATGTTTGGGGTGGGGGGAGCTTAACATTTTATTTTTTGTTTATGCATTTAAACTTGACAAAAGATGGAAAAATTAGGTTGTTGCAGCAATTTGGGGTCTAGCATTCCTAGAGAAAAGGTGGAAAATTACCAGATTCACAAGGAACGCAAGCAAACATTTTCTGTTTATCTGCTGTGCACAGGGTCAGGCTCTCACATCAGTCACACCCAATGTAGCCTCGGAACCAACCCCAGGAGGCAGGAGCACCCTCATTTTCCCCGAAAGGCAACATTCAGCAAGGCCAAGTCATTTTCCTGACGTTGAGTGGCTTACATATTGCCACACATTTTGCATTGTTAATAAAAAATGTACTAAGGCTGGGCTGGGCACGGTGGCTCATGCCTGTGATCCCAGCATTTTGGGAGGCTGAGGCGGGCAGATCACCTGAGTTCGAGACCAGCCTGGCCAACATGGCGAAACCCCATCTCTACTAAAAATACAAAAATCAGCCAAGTGTGGTAGTGCACCCCTGTAATCCCAGCTACTTGGGAGGCTGAGGCAGGAGAATTTCTTGAGCCCAGGATGTGGAGGTTGCAGTGAGCCGAGATCACACCATTGCACTCCAACCTGGGAAAGAGAGCAAAATTCTGTCTCAAAGAAAAATTAAAAAAGAAAAATATATATATATATAAAATATATATACATATTTTTACAGGTTACCAATATGACATTTCATTTAGATATAGTAAATATACAGGTTCTATTGCAACAGTATGTGCGAGTCTGAAAGCTAGAGCACTGCGTGTGGTTGGATAAATGGGGATGTGGATTTTCAGTAGAAAATAAAGGAAAGAAAAGGAAACTTTCAATATAAACTTGGAATCCCAAGGTGAGTGTAAAATGAAATCATATGGCTATTTATGTAGTCATTTTTAAAAAAATTGAATTGTGAGCTTTTCTTGCTTCAAAATTCTCGGAATATGACAGGGATTTTTAACGAACCTCTGTGTACACAGATGCTCCCTGGCGGCTTCACTTTTACCCCTTACAGGAGTGTTTAGAAGTCTGCTCTGAAATGTTTTTAGAATTAAGACTATGTCTTCTATATGTTTAAAATGTTCCCTGTTGCATGACACATAAGAAAATGTTTTATAACTGGTTCTTAACCTTTTGGGATGGCAAAAGTCTTTGAAAATCTGAAAAGCTACCAGCCCTCTCTCCAGAAACATGCACACAAACATAACGGCATCATTGTAAATCAACTTGCAGGAGCTTTTCGGGTGCCCCTGGAGCCTGTCCGAGCCCCACGCTCACCCACCCCGAGTGCGTGGCCCTGGCAGAGGAGGCCCTGGCCTCCTCTGTAATAGCTTTCCGTGTGGGCGTACCTTGCTGTGCCCACGGAGACCGGGTTTACTCCCTGAGCATTTTCTCATCAGCCAAGCCTCGCCTGTGTTTTCAAGTAATCCAGTAAACTGAGGGAGTGTTCTTTTCCACTGCCATGAAAATGATTCATCTTTCCAAGTGGAAGAAAGGCTTTCTTCAGGGTGATTAATGGTGTTTGGGAGCAAAGGGCTGCAGCCGGTTGCAGCGTGACCCTGGCAGGCCAGCTCTGCTCCCTGGGGCCTGGGGAGCTGGTTGCAGTGTGACCCTGGTAGGCCAGCTCTGCTCCCTGGGGCCTGGGGCTGAGGCAGCGCTGACCCTGTGCCTGCTCATCTACACGGTCAGTGCTTGTAAGTGGGGCCCGACCCGGCAGCCTCTGCTTCATGGCTAAGAGCATTGGTTGCAGAGGATGCAACACACGGCTCGTGCAACAAACCACACATGCTTCTCAGCCTTTCAGAGTCCACTGTCTGCGGGGGACTCAGCATTTCTCATTCCAGAGGGAACCCCAGGCTCCTCACCTCCTGGGAGAGGCCTGTAGGTCAGAGGGCTCTGAGAGGGAAAATCCTGGGGCATCCCCTTCCCATTGGACCCCCAGCCCCAGGCTCAGGCTGGGGACTTCAGATCGAGGACCTCAGCGTCTTGGTGGTTTGGGGAGGTCCCCTGCAGTCCTGGCATCGGGGACCTCAGCGTCTTGGTGGTTTGGGGAGGTCCCCTGCAGTCCTGGCATCGGGGACCTCAGCGTCTTGGTGGTTTGGGGATGTCCCCTGCAGCGCTGGCACAAGGTCATTGTCTCCCCAGTGCCTGGAGCTGATGGGCTCCACCCCGGGAGCGTGGAATTGGCTCTGCTTCCCTTCCTTCTGTGCACCCAGGCCTGGCACACCATTGCTACATTTTCATGTTCAGTGAGGTGAATAAAACCGCATCACCCCAGCCAGGACTGAAAGTCAGGAGTAGGCACTTGCTCGATGTGTGTGGTGAGTTCAGTTTGATTCACGGGTGAGGCCTGGAGTACAGACGGGAAAGCCAAGCAGAGAAAGAGTTTGGGGTCTGCCCAGTGCCGGGCACCGGGGTCGTGACAAGCACCTGTAGGCATAGTGTAGGGTTGTTCTCCACCTGGAGGGAGGGAGAGTTTTGCTGGGGAGAGGGAGTCGGTCACTGTCTCTTTCATGCATTCCCCTTTCTTCCCAGCACTCACACATGTACACACATGTGCACACAATACACACACATGAACACACACACACCACTGAGTCTGAGTGTAGAAATTAAGTGTGACTGCCTGCCTCCCTCCCCTCCCTCCTCCCTTCCCTCCCTCCCTTCCTCGGCTCCCTTCCTCCCTCCCCTCCCCCTCCCACCTCCTTCCCTCCTTCCCTCCCTCCCTCCCTCCCTCCCTCCTTCCCTCCCTCCCTCCCTTCCTTCCTTCCTTCCTTCCTTCCTTCCTTCCTTCCTTCCTTCCTTCCTTCCTTCCTTCCTTCCTTCCTGCTTTACTGCTTTCCTTCCTCCCTTCCTTCCCTCCTTCCTCCCTCCCTTCCTCCTTCCCACTCTGCCTCCCTTCCTTCCCTCTTCCCTCCCTCCCTCCCTCCCTTCCACAGCATGGACACGAGTCAACACAGTAACACACAACACAAAAAGAAGTGTTTAAAGGTAAGAATTTGTTGTCTCTTTACTGAAACATTGTGTTAATTCAAAAAAAGTATTTTCAAATTGTTTTAGTACAACAGTTCACCTATCCAATTGGTAAATAGGCACAAATCGACATTGTTCAAAATACATTATTTATTTTGTTTAAAAATGCATGTCTTGGCCATCAATAATGGACCCAGCAGGAGGACATCAATTTACTGCAGCTAATAGCACCTGGCTTAGCGTCTCCCTCCTTCATTCTCTCATCAGCACGTTCCCAGAGTCCGTCCAAAGACATGAGGCCAGGTCCAGCCCAGTTTGGCCCAAACACAGCAGTCCCTGTGCCCATCCAGCCCATCCGGCAGCAACGGCTCCCCAAGGATTCCATGTACGTTGTGGGCACAGTTTGTGGCCAAGAAGAAACCTAAGAGACTTAGCTCTTGAAGACTGGAAGTTTGCAAAGCAGTCTCGAAAAGGGATTAAGATCCTTTGTGAATAAATATCTTATGTGTTCTTGGAAGGACTCGAGGAGGAAGCACAGCAGCAGGATTAGGTTGTACGGGATGAAGCAGGAAAAGGAATGTACTTGGAGAGCTGACTCTTTACTCTCCACCTATTATAGAAGTTTTCAAGGTTCATTTAAAAATTATTGTTCTTCACTGAAAAAGCCCCAGAGCACAGGTCTTATAAAATCCAATTATTAAAATAATAGAGACAACCTGGAGTCTCTTAGAGTCAGGTTAAAATGGCTCCGCCATCTTTCCAGCCTCCCCTGGCCTGTGCCAGTTTTGAGAAAGGAGGCCTGGCACGGCACACACTTTGCCACTCTCCAGTGGCAGGGTCCGCCTGCGTCCGAGACGCCCGCTGGGGGAGGTGGGAGGTGCGGCCAGGTAGAGACAGGAAGGCCGGGGTGGGGCTGGCTTGTTCAGCAGAGGCTGCAGTTGTGGGTCCTGTTTTGAGACTCTTGCCTTTATCACCATCCCAAGAGGAGACGCCATTGGTATTTGGCTTCAGAAAAGCGCAGGGAAACGCACAGCCATCAGGGATGGCTCCTGGTTTGTGTCATTCAGAAGATGCCTGGCTCCGTTTCCATGGTTTAGTGGCAGACTTTGAGTACATCCAGACATTTTTATGGTTGAATGTGGAAAAGACAGGGTACATATTTCCCCTGAAAGTTGAGTTGCTCTTTTTTGCTGGTCTGAGCAACTTTGCTTCCCCA